TTTTGACTTGAGACTTGATTCGGACTTGAGTGCAAAGACTTGAGACTTGCTTGTGACTTGGTCCCACCTCTGGTTCAAGCCACACCTGCCTCTGTGCCCCCAACAAAAATCTTGACATTTGAAATGTAATTCCATAATTTCCATAATGAATCAAAATTCAAATTACATCAAATGATGATGACACTAAAATGGATCAGAGAATCAGTGCTCTGTGTGTGAGTGTGCAGCAGAAAGTGACATACTCAAGGTGGAATTTTATGTGTGTTTTTTACGGGGACGTTTCCTCATTTTTTTTTTTTTTTTTTTAACAGTTGCACAAACAGAAAGAGGAAGAGAACCTTCACAGTCTGACAGTGTGTCAGTGTGTGTGCAGCTAGCTGTGTGTGTGTGTGTGTGTGTGCCTTTTACTCTGCATGTTTATTTATATATGTGTTTGTTCACGTCAAACTTGAAAAAGAGATGAGGATTTTAGTTTTACTTCCAGACCATTACAAGCGGAGGATTAAAAACGAGGTAAAATCACTTTATCTTAACAGTGGTTGTGTGTGTGTGTAATGGTGTGATAAGTTCTAAGATTTTTTTTTTTTTTTTTAAATCAGCTCATCTATCAATACAAAGTCATTGATCTATGATTATTTAACGGTGTGTGAGGTGCCACTGCTACGACCAGTCAGATGAACAAAGACTTTCCCTCAGGAAAACCATGATTACTAATGGAGAAACCAGAAGTAAACAGGTTTTAGCCAAATCTTACTCCAAAGATCATCAGAAATAAATCTCTGATTTTTGTCTTAGTTTCTCAGTAAGATAAAAAGGTAAACACGTTTTTATAATATCATAAAGTTCAGTGATCACCTTAAGCGAATACTAAACTCATCAAAAGTCTTGTCACGTTGCGTGTGTTATCAGCCAATCACTGGACAGAATGTCTCCAGTACCGTATTTTCCGGTCCCATTCAGTTTGTGACTCGGGTGTGACTTACATGTTAAAATATATAATTTTGCGTTTGATACTTTCACACTGACCGCCGCTAGAGGGCACTTTAAACTTGTGTACCAGTATCTGCTACTCCTGTACCACTGAAAATTTGAATCTTTATTTTTTCACACTGACAGCCACTAGAGGGCACTCTAGCTGGTTGGTATGACATATATGTTTGTTTTTTTTTCTTCTCATTATGCATTTTTTGGCTGGAGTGACTTATGGTCTGGAGAATACGGTACTCACCCATTGATTTTTTTTTTTTTCTTGTTACTGCCTGATTCTTTGTTGTTCTGATTGTTTGGTACAAGATGCCAGGGGCGAGGATGGTGACAGACTTGTACAACATTGATGGGTCAATGGTGGAGCCAACCATCAGCGTCAGCAACAGCTGCCCTGCTAAGCTACACAGCATCAAGACTGAAGTGAGCGGTGGGTCTTTACACACACACACACACACACACACAAGAGCTGACTCCTGATTGGATAAGGACAAAGTAAAGCTTTTCCCTATTTTCTGCAGTAGTTTGTTCTTCTCTTTGATGAATCAGCACCAGGATTTCCTGACAAGTACACACACACACACATTCACAAGTCATCAATTTATACTTCCCGTGCAGTGTTAACGTTTTCCAGATGCTTTCTTGGTGTAGGTGCAATGGGTCAAGTTTAGGTTTTTGTTTAGGTGCACTTGATTTTTGATCAGTCTCATTAAAATTGTCTTCATTGTTATGGTCTACTATTATTATATACACTGGCCTGGCCAAAAAAAAAGTCGCCACCAAAAAAAAGGGGTCATACACTATAATATTTCGTCGGACCGCCTTTAGCTTTGATTACAGCACACATTCGCTGTGGCATTGTCTCGATAAGCTTCTGCAATGTCACAAGATTGATTTCCATCCAGTGTTGCATTCATTTTTCACCAAGATCTTGCATTGATGATGGTAGAGTCTGACCGCTGTGCAAAGCCTTCTCCAGCACATCCCAAAGATTCTCAATGGGGTTAAGGTCTGGACTCTGTGGTGGCCACAATCCATGTGTGAAAATGATGTCTCATGCTCCCTGAACCTGAAGTCTTTCACAATTTGTGTCAATTGTGAGAGATTGAACAGCTCGCCACCGCGACCTTACAATACCCTCACTGCTTTATATCACTGCTGGAACTAAAACTAAGACTCAAGGAGGTTGCATGTCAGGGAATAATACTACCAATTAGATACAATAAAAATCACTGTGTCTTTTTGTCCAGTATATTCAGGTCGTCAGCTGACCTCATTCTTTGAGCACATACTGTTGCTGAACCTAGACCTGACCAACTGCAGCAACCCCAGATCATAACACTGCCCC